TTACTAAAAGGTACGTCAGCACCAGCGGAGCCTGAGCTGCGATAGTGTGTAATATTATATAGAGTATTATTAACTTTAGGGAAGCATGAGGGTTCTATCTTTAATAGCTATAATATTTTTGTAGTTATGGCGGGCGTTATGAGCACCTGGATGATGTCATTGTTGATAAACATAACGAATTAGTGATAGCTCTAATCTGTTTCGATATCAGATAATTTAGCAATACATTAATGTAGAATGTATTTGGAACGACTTTTAAATATGATTTATGTACCATTAACTAGACTCACACCCTCCGCTTTACTCTGTTTTATTTTGAAATATTTCTTTTGTTTTACTTATTCAAATTTTTTTTGACATTTATTTTTATATTGTTGACAGCTGTAAATAAGTAAAGTTTTTGTTTTACTAGGATTTAAGAAATTTTTATTATAAATATTTATTCATATTTTTTACAGACAACTAAAAAAATTTGTAAATGTATTTTAAAAACATTTAAAAATGTCGTTTTTCACTATATGTGAGAATAGGTGTAATAAGTATAAATTGATTATTATCAATGGCAAAAAGTATTGATAGCGTTTTAATACCAAGAGATAAATAATATTTTATTAGAAGACATTATGTGTAAGTGAACTGATTTTGGTTATATTAATATGTAGATTAAGTATATTAATTCACGAATGTCGGTCCATAGAGTATAAATAAAATCATTACTTCTAGAATATTTTACTTTTAGTTTTATTTTTTATATATTTTTTACGATAGAAACTTGAAATAAAGAAATAAATTATAGATTTGTTTAGAAAATGTATAATAGAAAGAATATGTCAGTCAGGATTTTTGCAAATCTTTAATGTTACTTTACGAAAAAATCATCATCATCATAAAAATCTACATCTATTATGATTATTAGTAAGATTGTGTCCAAAATAATATAAAGACGAGCCTAATACTGTGTTATAAAAAATTAACAAAGAGTAATAATGATACATATCCAGTAAAGATATGATTTTCATTGAAATGCATCACATATTAAAATTCAAAAAATATATATTGTAAAAATTAAATCAGAGACATCTGTTGTAAGATTTTAATATTGTGTAATTTAATGTATTAAAGCCATTCGATAATAGATGGCGCCCTCGCTCAATACATGAATTTTTATTTCATGATATTACATACGTGAAAGTATTTTGAATCAATTTAAAATTACTTTGTACATGCAAACGTTTGAAACACAAATTATTAGAATACTGTCAGGATGACAAATGTTTTACTTTTTATAAACTTCGATCTGGATTAAGGAAAATAGAAATATGAAAGTTCCTTAGTATTATAAGGAAAAAATAGCCCTGCGGTCCTTGCGCTTGACCTTTTTCCAGTCATTAAACTAATGTATAATCATAAAATACAGGTACGCCTGTTTACTTCAAACAAGTTTGCGCGGCAATTATTATTTCTTTATAACCAGTGTTGCCATTATTACACTCGCATAGTAGACGTAACTACTAGTAGATTATATGCCAGTGTCCACATAATTTTGTTTATTAATAATATAATTTACATTTACAGAGTCTGATGCGATAAGAAAATTGGATTAATTTGATTACTAAATATGATTCTTCAATTGTGATTTATAAAGTTATAAAAACTTTGAGTCTTTTAAAATAAATATGAATATTCGTATATGCATTGTATTTGCATATGCAAATTTTATTATTTTACTTCTTTATAGTATGATATATCTTTACTAATTAAATATTTTTTATTTGCCACAATACAAAGATATTGTATATTGTTACGAGTCTACCAAACATAGTTAAATCGAAAGAATTTTATCAACAATGCTTAGTAAAATCTTGTTGTAACATAATTGACAAATGGTTAACAAAATAAGTCACTTTGTTTCAAGAAGATGACTCATTTAGGTGACAAAGCCCTTTGTTTTGGCTAAAAATCTTACTCATCGTCTTTATGCAGAACAAATATTAATAATATCCTGCATTTGTTTATATTATAGTGACAAGTGATAGCTTGTATATGTTTTTGATACTGATCCTAATATTGGCAGACACTGGCTAAAGCTGGGAAATTGCCAGGAAGAAGAAGAGAAGACTGATCCTAATATTAGTTTTTTGTTAACTAATCTTTTTCTAACCATACCTCGAAGGTATAAGATTATTTCGTCAAATAGAGTTTAAGGAATTCCTCTTCTTTCAATAGCACAACTAATAGTGTTATCTATTTTCTATTTTATCGATGCATCCCGTCAGTTCGGAATTTTAAGTTATATGTATATTTTCTAATAGAAATATGCTAAATGATATCTGATGTATGTAGGTATAGATGGAGGTCTGTTATTTGTTTTCTATAACTTTGATGCAATTTGTTTAAATTGCAAAGCATTATATTCTTCAAAAATATCGATATGATACTAGTTAATACATGAACTAAATGACTTCGTATTATTATATAACCTATGATAGAAAAACCTTAAATCCCACTTCCTGACTAATATATTGTATTTATCTATTTTCGTATTAAATTTAAAAAGATGAAATGAGAGAAGAGTAAAGATTGGAAATATGTATAATAAAACCCAATACACATTTTCATTAAAATCTATCTTGAATAATTAATATCTTATTAAACAAACCGTGATAGAAAATGATTTCACGTATATTAAAATTTATTTGTCAAATGGTTAGAGCTAAAAAGATATTTCCGTTTAAATTTTACGTACGTTTATTGATACTTTTTGACACCCTTGTATCTTTGGACCTAAGATATTTGCAGTTTCATCTATATTTTGTTATTAATTTTATTAGTAAAATAAAACAGTCATAACAGTAAATTGGGTGACTAACATCATCGGAATTTTCTTTGGAATGTATGAAACTAACTGTTATCCTTTATGCATAGATAAATTTACTTGAAGTCGCATTTAACTTGGTATAATCATTTAACATACACTAGGGTCGGTATGAAAAATAAGACAAAAATAGATAAAAAAAATTGATAAGAGGATATTAAAAATGTCAAAATAATAAAACAACATTTATATATTATGTGTTTTTAATATTAATATTTAATTAATAGTATAGTTAATATGTTTACATTTGACATAAAAAACAAACAATCAGTACATACTCACATTTCATAACAAAGTTGAAATGATATAATGTTATTATGTTACATAAATATTTAAATATTTTTATTTATCTCATACAATAACCAAACTGGTTATCGTAAGTTCAAAGATCGTTACCAACGAACTTCACACTTTGACTGTTTACATTTTTACAATGTTGGAAACGCCTTTTAAATCTAAAATATAAATATATTTGCTTACCACGAGTTTCAATAGCACTGTATACGAAGATTTTAGAGTTTTTCATTCATATATATACATTATAGTATTAATTTAGATTATTTAATGAGAAATGATTCATAGTTAGTTGACGATTCAAACTTGCGTTAAGACATTGTCAATTTAAATCATACATATGTATTAGAACGTGTGAGGAATTGTTTTGTTGTCGCAACTAGATTCTATATTTATTTTGTTATGCAATGATTAATAAACAAATTCAATTATAAATTCAATTAAAACTACAAAAGCGTTATACTATTTTAGCAATGAAGTATCAATGTGTTATGTTAAAAGTAGTTTTTGATTGCATTTCAAACTATTTGCTTAAGTTTCAATTGAAATAATATACTTTCGAAAGAATTTCGCATACTTTCAATATACGAAGTCAAAACAAAATGAATCTTAATTGACATATAAAAACATTTACTCCTTGACAAAGCATCTAACAAATTGAAAGACGAGAATGTTCATTGTATTTTATTAAGACAGAAGGCTACCAGTGTTATTTATATTATACTTATATATATAGTTGGTATGTCTTTGATTGGCTGAATCTATCAAAACATCACGCAAAAGATCAATGTGCTTCTGGCCTTACAATTATATCAAACTGCAGCTGTCACATTGTACAATTCACTAAAACTATACACGGCGGCCATTTGCAATTACAGCATATATTTTCTATAAATTATTGATATGTTGTATGTTGTAGGATATATCCTTGTGATAAATAATGAATACTAATTAATTACTCAGTGACAAGGAAAAATAATAAACGAATATATATTAGATATTTGTTATTTCTTTATAATTCTTTATTTTACATTTTTTGTAAATGTTTTTACGGCACTACATACGAGTCCTTTTGAGCCTATTTCATTATGACTTATTTGAATGTTGCTAGGTCTTATATTATCTTATTTTTTGGCATCAAAATAATAGACACATTTTAATATAATTCTCAAACAAGGGCAATATCATTATAATAATAATTTAAATTCAACAATTACGATTAATATTATTCAAAAAGATAAGCAATGTTATTGCAAAACTATCAAGCTTTAATTGACCGAATAATAAATTCGTATATTGTAATATCAATTTAATATTTATTAAAGTATTACTTATATAATAATTGGCAACTTAACCTGATATATGATTACTGAATGGAATAATAACTGGTGATATGATCGAATATTTCAAATTAATTAACTGACAACACTCTCTATAGTAACTGAACACTTCGTACGTGTTATGCAAGTTAGACATACTTACATATACGATTTCGTAAACATTAAATTCTATAAACATGGGAAAGAGAATTTATAACACACGAGTATAACAGGTATCATTCGGCGATAAGGGTTAAAATTGCGTGTACCGTTTTTGATTTACAATTTCCCATGGCATATCGTATTATATAGCAATCTGTCAAAGACTCACTTCCCCGTTTACAAACAATGATATTTCATACATACAATTGTAGAACGTATTTATTTTTATTCGCTTTGGCAACTTCAAAACTGTTTACTTATCGCTAGTAATGTGATCGTCACAGTCCGATGTAACCTTGAGCAAATATTACAGTCTCATTAATGACACTTCACTATTTTATAAATCAATTTCATCTGTTCTCGTCTTCAGCGACTCTAGCGCATGTCTGGCAGTTGATGTGTGACCGGTAATTGTTGTTGTTACGTCTCTTGACCGCGTGGTTCCTTTCTCTGGATGGGAACTTCTGTATTTTCCTCTCTGTAACCTCTTCCCTGTCTCCTTTGATCACCCGGCGGTAGATCTCCGCCCACTCCAGTTGTTTCAACGACAGACACATTTTATCACGTTCTATGACACGTGTGAACGCTTTCAACGTTCTGATCACAATGAGGTCTCAGCGGACTCGATGCGCCTGCGACCTCCTCGCGAAGGTTGAATATTTTTTTTCCAATTATCGATTTAAAACACGTTCGTATATTGTTACGTTTGAGAAATGAATGAAAGTAAACAGATAAGTTATCGTCGACCCGGATGAAGACGGCCCGAGTGGCTGGCCAATGATAACGAGCCTGTCATTAGTGCGATCTCTGTCCAATGTTTGTTGTTCTTGTTAACCTAATGATATCGGCAATTACGTTCTGTTTATTTATAGCGCGACTGCTGTTATTGTTTTAAACGTTATATTAATTTTAGTATTCTTTAAGTCATATATAATTTGTTTAGTATTTGTCTGACTTACCTCCAAGGGTGTGGTGTGAATCCTACACAGAGTTCGGGACAGTTGTCACACGGCCTGCCTTCAGACACCTCCTTTATCCGAACGCCCTGCAGACAAGAAGGATACAATGAGATCATAAAACAAACAAATAAGTCTTACTTACTTACTTACTTACTTACAAATAGTCTTAATAAACTAAATCAATGAAACTCATCTAAGGTCAATGTACAAGTTACCATTATTTTCCGTAATCTATCCTCAGTCGTGATCTTATTTATCGCGTCAGATAAATCCAATATGTCATCTTCATCTCTACTGTCACAATCAATATTGATAATGTCGGAATATTTAGCATCTTCGTTTGAGTCACATTCGCTGTAACTATCTGATGTCGACTCACTATCTCGTCTGTTGCCGAATAGTTTGAATATACCCTTTTTTTCGACCCAGGACTCAGCCATGCCTTCCCTTATGCTATTGGCTTTCTTATGTTTTTTGTGTATTTTGAAAGGCACTTGTTTGAATTTCGGTTGGACCGTGCAAGAAGGTTTAGAGACTTTTCTTTTGTAACGACTCTCATATTCTTCCTCCGATATTCCTCGATGGTATATGAGATAATCTTTTCTTATTTGTTCCAAACCCGCTGGATCGCTCCAGAATGTGTGTTTCTGTTTTATTCCTAAGTAGTAATCTAAGTCGTGTTCTCCTGAATGACCGTCTTCATCAGAATCTATTTCTTGGTCTACAGTTTCAGTGGCTGTCTCATTTTTATTTTCTTCTTCTACTTTCGGTAGCGTATCGTTCTTTTTATTGTTAGGCATCTTCTTCAACAGTATAGCCGTGTTGGTTGTTAAAAATTTTGTTGTCTTTCTATAAACAGTTGCGACCGACTCCCTCCTACGTTTCAAGTTGTACATGATTCTCTTTTTTTTTAATGTTAAATTAATATAAATTCCTCCAAAAAAAATTTGTTTTCTACACCGGTTCATTTCAATCAAGTCATCTTTTGAGGTTAATATATAGTGATTACTACTTTTAATTTATTTAATATAAATATGTTGGAGTAAAATTCCTTTCTTTTTTGACAGCTTCTTATTCAATGGGTTTGTCTGATTCGAGGCAGGTTAACGTAATAGAGACCGAGGGAAACTAGTTTTCTTTTTACTGTTACGATTCAATTGCGAGGGTGACGTGATAATGGGTACCTGTGGGCGTACGAGGTTTTTGTAGTCCAATAAATTCAGGCCTCCGATCGTTTATGCCCTTCTCTACTTGTTATTACTAAGGTTCGATACAAACGAGGTCTCGTTACAGTGGTCGCTATGGCTGACAGATACATGAGCTCAGGGCGTGGACTCTTTACGATCATGCAAACATCGGGGCTATACGAGTCCATCGTAAATGACTCGACAAATTGCAACACCCCTAGCTAAATTGCTTGTTAAATCCCCTTGTTACGGGAAAAGTATATTTTGACAAATGTCATTAATTTATACCATTTATAATATTATTTAATAAGAATACTAATGATACTAATGGTATTCGATGCCCCAAATAAAGTTCAACTCCTTTTCATACTAAGTCTTTAAAGTGATAGCCCATAAATTTCCTAATTATAACGATAATTACTCGTAACTGCAATATACTAAAACTTTCTAAGTACTTTAACACTTATCAATGACCATTTGGTGCCCTAAATAATAAGAGCTCATTTAGGAATTAGTAGCGGCATCTATCTATTAATTGTAGAACTTCTTCTTCTGTAGAAGTTGAAATTTCATTGTTTCAATACAGCGCCATCTGTTGTCGAATAGCCCCGGTTTTGGTTAAATATAATCTGCGAGACGTCAAGAAAACGGTATAATTATTGAACAGATGTCGCTCTGTAATTTTTTACCGAAACCGAAAAATGTAAGCTTTTTGGAATTGTTATAATTTTTTGATGATATGAAAGAAAAATTATATGTATAGCCATTGCAAAATATATATCAAAGGATTCTTCTTATGCAAAAATTTAAGATTAAGCAATAAAATATTTAAATATGTCCATATTACATGGAAATGTTTAAATACAATCCAATTTTACAAACAACTAAAATATTTTTATTCAAATTCAATGATATATAATATAAAACAGAAGGAAAACTTTTCCTTTTTAGTCTATAATAACGCAGACTTTGCTTGTTTTTTATTTTGTTTTTCTTAATCTGTGGTTTTATCATTTTTGACATTCAATTGAGTTTATTTCGCAGTTGTCTATTTATGAGGAAATTATGTATTGAGTTGTCGAATATATTCGTCCAATACTTTATAAAACTTTAATATATTCAGTAATAATATATAGAAAATATTGACATAATAAATTCTCTATGACTGGTTTACCTTGGACTGTTCTGAATACTCAATATTATTACTATGAAAGTATGTTGAGTCGGAAGGCTCTAAAACTGTGACAAACCATGTTTTATAGAAAGAGATATAAATCAGGCATTTTATTTTTTGTTACAACAGATTCTCTCAACTCAATACATCGACTAATATATATTTTATGCTATGGCTTCATTCGCGGCTAATATTTTTCAATGAGTATAAATTTGTAAGAAAATACATTTATATTTTGGGTAATTGGGTTCCTGTGTAATAAAAAATACCTAGATTGCATTTTGTAACCAGTCTCTTTGATTGAAGCATATAGGTATATTGTTTTTATTATTTACTAAGAGTGGTAAGTTCGTTCAGAATCTTTCTCGTTTTTGTGTTAGTGAAGTATATTATGATTATAATACTCATATAACCTTATTCCATACATGTATAGTATTAGTGTCACGCAGACGCTTTGTTATGTAAAAATCGGCATTAAATGTCAATCTTACGTAAAATATATCAACTTGCTTTTAATCTTAAAACAATTCGTTTAATCTTAGTTTAGTAGTGAATTTAATAAAATAAATTTTAAAGTTTATATAGAATTTTTTGTTTCATAAAATTTATACTCAGCTGATGTAATAAATGGTTGATACAAAGCAAGCAGAGCCGTGAAATAATTGGACTAATTATGAAATCCATGAATAATATCATTGGATAATAAATAGTATTGTTCAAACAATGAGTGTGTGGTACAAGGTCGGTTCCTTTGAAAACACAAGCATACGTTTTTCCAATCATCGTGAACAGAATTACTCATTATTTGGCTAATCGGTTATGTTTGGAATTGTTATAAAAACAACTTTGGTTAAAAGTTTATTCTAAAAGTTAAAAAACTAACCTGTTCGGAATGTACAAAAAAATTTGTATTCATTTCGATGTTTGTATAAAAAATATATATTGAGATCTAAGATTTTCGCTAGTATTCATTTAAATGAAACTATTTTTTTTTTGGATTAATGCTACGTTGTAATTATTTTTAACAACATAAACCTGACGTTTCGGTTACTTTACAATATATTCATCTCATCTACCCGTGATCACGGTTGCAATAAATCCGAAATATATTAATTTTATTTCAAAAATCAAACAGCACAAAAAAAGTGCATGAAATGCGTGTTTAACTGGAGCTTTTCTCTGAAATAAGAAAGTTAAGGAGGTATTCATATTTAAATCGGAATTTAAAAACCACGTTTTCCCGATAAATACTTTTTATGATCGTGCAGAATAAATCGTCGGACATTCAATAGAAATGTTCGCTGTAAAAATAATTCGTTGGACTATTGGAACTGATTGTATATTACTTTCTCGATTTATTTCACTAACTACATTTACTTACATGTTTGTCTGGTGCTGTCACCGCAATAATTCAGCGTTAAACTAAATAGAGACATTTAGATTTTCTTTAATATACTTTCATTGTGACAGTTTTAACTTAAGTATATGAATACTGATCATAGAAAAATATATAAGTAGCACAATTAAGCAAATTTCATCAATAAAAGAAAAGAATCTTTTTAGCACTCCATGGATTTATAGTGCTTGAGCTTCAACAGTGCCTGTGACTTGCGAACCAGGTGTAGGTTTAAGGGGGCCCTATCTAACGCCTCACCTCCACCGTCCAAGCTCCTCTCTCTACCTAACAAAATTTACAACAAATCTACTACCTTGAGATATTAGTTCTGGACAGGGCCAAGTCTTTTGGTAGGTCGTAGAGAGACTTAGTTGTAGTTTAGTAGCTGTTATACCTTTAGGTCCCACTTCTATAACATACAAATCAACGACGAACCTTTTCCTAGTGAACTCGTTTGTTAGCTCGTAATAAATATTGACCTTGATGGCATGGTCTTCAGAAAAGTTGGTTTCCCAAAGAATCAGTTTATATCTAAGGAAATAAATGAGGTAGCTTATAACTTTGTACTAATAATATATAAGGCAAGATGTTGAACTTATTAAAACTAAATTGTTCAAGAAATTTAATATTCAAGTGCATCAAAGGATCTCAGTTTTGTGTAAATAAAGAGCCTTCGCTTGATACAAAGACGTATCGAGAACACAGCTTTAATATATATTCCATTATTATTAAGAATATCATCAAATATTAAACCGATTTATCATTTTCATAATACATTCTTTTATTTATTTTGCTACTTCTCACAACTTTACTGCTTAATAGTTACGATAATATATCTTGATTTTCTAAGCCACGTAAAAGATTTACGATTTTTAAATATGTATAATTTTTAAAAGCTGAAAATGTGATAAAAATACAACATTTCATAGATTTGAATCAGTTAAACTACACTGTTCTCCTTACTAAGAGAATAACTATCCTTTATGTATTTTTTCATATAGGTATATAAAGCCACAGGTAATAATCATTGCTTTAATTTTATTTATATATTTACACAGCTTCAAAAGAAAACAAAATTTTTTCATTACACCTTAAACATTTTACCGGAGAATTTAATTAATATTAATCTGACACGCCTAGCCAAAAAAACTAAAAATTACGTAATCATGTAGAATTCCACTCCCTGTAATTAACTAAACGATTTTCATGACGTCGGAACCCTTACAACAGATTACCGAATAAGGCTTTTAAAAGCATAGTCAGCTTACGACCTGTGTAAACAGTTTCAGCTTACAAGAATATTGCTGCCATACTTTTTTAGAAATCGGAAGCTTTATATGCAAGTATTCTACTACATACATATATACATGTATGTGTGCGTGTATGTGTGTGTGTGTGTGTTTGTGTATGTAATTTTCTTCTATCATTCATATTAAATTATAGAATATGCACATACCTACGTAAAAATATAAATTGTAAAAACCTAAACAACTGGCTGTCGTCATGATGAAAAAATTTAGAATAAATTATACCTATTTTCTTTTTGGATTTATTGGTTCATTCTCATGAGGTTATTGTAATTTATAACAAAAAAGTATAAGTGAGATATACAATTATATTTTAATATACACGTATAACACAGATATACCTATGTTATTATATTTAACTAGAAAAATAATAATTTGGGTGTGACCACAAACATAGCGTGACACATGACTGGGGTGTACACAGATAATTAATATAAGTTCAAATATAGACAAAATAACAAAAAAAAGTATATTTACTTAAATTTAAAATTATTTTCTTAATTAAAAAACTGTACCTATAAACTCTAATTAATCTGCTTGTAATTTAAACACCTCTAAGTTCAATGACAAAGTGCAAGTTTTAATAACGAAACATTATACTTATAGTAATTACTTGAGTTGTTTTATTTTAATGGCTTTAAACTTCAATCGAAGGCTTTTAACTTTGACGCTAACGTTCACTAAGTTTTACTTTTAACTGTTCGTGAAACGTGAGGTTGGCTTTATTTTGAGTTTTTTAGTGAAAGAAGTTTTTTAGGCTTTCGAATTATTCAACAATTATAATAATTGTGTTTAATTTATAAAAAAACTATGATTATATTCAAATACACAT